TACTTTTCCCAGCACAGCTATGCACCGTCTTTCATGCATATTAACGGCCTACAATATAATCTTTCCCCAATGACTTTAGCCCCAGACGAGGAACACCAGTTAGAGTACGATTGTTCTTACTTGGCATGACGGCCTCAAGGGGCGACATGTACTTGAAGTGGGCTATTGTGATGAAATGCGACATCATCTACGTTACAGGGTCACATTTAGAAGAGGTAGTCGAAGGCCGACCTTCAATCTGGAGGACAACTGAGTCGTGTCAACAGCCTGTTGCCTTTCAGGGCATGGATATTAGCCTGTCAGGTGCATTTGTATGATCAAACTATTTTATCTTGAAAACACCTGCCCTGTCGTGCAATCTGTAGGTGTCATCTCTAATCGACGGGACATGCAACTTCTGAATGACAACACGTATATTACTAACAAAACAATAATTTTTGTACACCTCAGAAACGTCGGTAAGCTGAGGAACAGGATCACACAAAATGTTTCGACTAAAATCAACCGAATTGGAAACTGCAACATAAGCCCACTGCGGTGCTATTCGTAAACGTATAGTAAACGAACTGAAACCCTTACCACAGATCCATGAACTATGTGATGGCATGATATTTTAACGCTTGATTACGTTCTTCCTGGCGTCTGCCATGACGTCATGCTGCGCTCGCTTTTCGGCAAGTTTTGACTATTACTTGCTAGATTGTATTCGACGGAACAGTTATGCCTTTTGTAGTAGAATAGACTAAATCCCAGTTTACATTCCAAGTTTACAGATATGGCGCCATTTCGACCTAAACAATCTTTCCCTCTATTATGTGATCGGGCTAAGGATGAATGACGCAGGACTTACAGTTTCTCTATCAGATAAAAGAAAGGATTCCACCACCCGAATACGTCACAACGTCTAAGCAGTTGTTTCTTAACAAACTTTGCCTTTGGTAAGGTTCCACCACGAACACTGGCATTTTTGTCGAGCACAGAATAGTTTATTTTATTGTGGGTAAAATAAGCGAAAATTCGACAATTGTTGTGATAAAAGAGCAGGGATTTATGACTTCAAATGATCGAACAGGATGCACCGTCAAAATGTGGAATAACTCGTATCAAATGAACACTAACAACTCCGAACATCCGGAGGGTGTTTCCGGATCTTCGGAGATTTTATCGCCGATAATCTGGGCAAGAACACTAACATGCTTGTTGAGCTCATTATGATCCCGAATTTGATGGTTAAAAGTCCCAGGAATTGCAGAATACAGTGATCATCTCCAGAAACCAGAAGGACAGGAGTTTGAGATACAGTATAGCCTATCTATACGGCGGCTTTGGGGCAAATGGCGAACAAGATCACCAGGCATCGGTTTTTGGTTCCCGCTTAATATGTGAAGCATTGAGCATGTAGCTTTAAATTAACCAAAAATTCTCGTTGGCAAAGTTAAAAGGGATCTAACGATAAATAGCTAAGCCGTCAGAAAGTACAAAAATGGCGTGCATATTAAACTGAAAAAAGTTGGCACAGTCTTGAGTATGTTGTTGAGATCACAGGTCACAGAAACCCACAAATGATTCGTAAGAGGGGTTAGATCGGATGCGAATGAATTATTCCAGACAGTTTCGAGATGCAGTCCTCCGTGCGCAGATGATCGTGCGAAGGGTGACTCCGTTGGTACAGCTGAAGCAGATTCTGATAGACTGTTGCATTGAATGCCGCACCATGTTCGATTATCCTATTAACGATTGCCTAAAAGGCCAGAGAATAAATGCAAATAGTAGACAAGTACTCCCTTTGTGTATAAGGCTGAAGTTAACGAGAAGGGTGTCATATCGTACACACACAGTGTGCGGGAGTTCGTCTCCAGCTCTTCTGAGGTGCCTATTGGAAAAGGAGTAAGGGTTGTGTGGGCAAGCGCGACTGTGTCACACACCTTGGCCTGCACAAAGGGTGGCTGATAGACCAACAGGTTTTGCTTGTCTTATTACAGATCAACCTTAAAAACGGAACGGAGATCCGAACAAGAACCGAACTAGATTAACTACTGCAGCCTCATCTACTAAGCCAACTAAACACCTTCGCTGGCTAAGGCCTTGAATATTTTTACACTGGTCCGGCTTGTAAATGCTATGCACCCCTCATAAGAACCATAGAAACCTGCAGCCGAAATTGTGAAACATGCTTTAAAATCACAAAATGCAATAGGTGAAGTATTCAGCAAATGGTAGCGTAAATTCTGAAATGTGTTGTCGACAAAAAAGGATTAATTTGACGATATGGGAAGACTGATTATCCTACGGCAAAATCCCGGGATATTTTAGATACGGCAGGATACCACCACTCTCTGAATGCTCCTCTCATCAGCCGCCTCTAGAAAACATACTTGTTTAAAATGCGTACACAAACAATACTCATTTCTTCCATTGATTTTCGATCCTATTTGACATAAAACATACACAAAAATCCTATTTTCAAGTTAATTTGTTATGATCAAGGTCTTTTTAAAACTGTTTTGATCGAAAAAAGTGACTTTCAAATTTAAAAAAATATTAGTAGGAAATTTTTTAAGGTGGCGAAATTTTCACTCAAATAGCATCATATCCCTACGTTATTAATGTTTCTCATGAGGCCTAAAACGTTGTTCATCTCCAGTACACAAACGTACGGGTCTCATATAGAAAAGATGATTTTCCCTACATGGGAAGGCACTGCTTGTGGTTTACATGCTCTGAACGCGGATGCAACGGTAGGGACGGTTTAACATTATTCAAGAAATAAACAAATGCTTAAACTGGAGGAAACGTTTTTTTCAAGCACGGTTTCTGTAGAATTTTTGTAAATTTGGAAGGGCATCGAAAATAATTGGAAAAAACGCAGACTACTGAGATAATCATTTTAACTAAATGTGATTCGCAAGAGCAAACAGAAACAGGAACACTCAAAAGCTAGCATTCTGAATTGATTGATCTACCTGGGAGTTACGTAATTACTTACCATGGTGACAGGACCGGTACTAGCCAAAAGCTCACACTATATTCAAAAGCTCGCCTATATTCAAAAATCGAAGTATCTACCAGAAAGCGCATCGGGAATGCTGTGAGACCCACTGATGAGCCGAAACCCTCGCAAAGCAGTGATAGGATAACGGCAAAACATGTGCATCGATTTTTAGTTAGTAGCCGTGTGACCAGTATTGTAAAAAATTATTTAAGATACACTACTGACTGTCTGATGGCAACTTGTGAATATTCACAGTTATCCCGCAGTAGCTGATGGACATCGGCCCAAATATTTATAGCAAATGTCAGTGTGTGCCTATAGATTAGGAATTTACTGATCTACTCCCAGTTAGAAATTAACCTCCGAGGAAATTAAAAAGCCTTCATTTCGCATTTTGCTGCGCGATAATCAATATTAAAGACCCACCTGGTTATTCTTTTCTACTACGAGACATCAGAATCTCCGTAAAAGTTTCGTTAAAAAAACCACCTGCGGCTTGTTTTCAAAAGAAGGAATAATAAATTCTTATGGATTGGATAACCCTACGTATAGGATTAACAAATGCACTATCCCATGAGCGTTTTCGCTGGACACTTCCAAATACCAACCGAAAGAACTCATTACGTTTACACCATTTTCGCGTTGTTTTTCACTGATTGCACAAAATAAATCATTTTTGTGGGCATCCAAAACCAATTGTTTCCTGTTATAATTTTATAGGAAGATAAATAATGCCGGAATGTTCTTTCGTAGAAAGCAACTGCATATTTTGGTTTTCAAAACCCCATAAACTGTACATATGTTATCGAGATCTTATTCGGTCTTCCCGAATGTCTACCACTTATAATGCGTTTTGTCCGGCTGCAGAAGGTATCTGAAAAAACTGGCTGTAAACGGTTGCCCGCGAATTACTTGAAGAAACGAACTCCTGCCACATCCCCCTAGCAGAAGACTGCAGTGGACACAAGCCTGGGACCAAAAAGAGCAGAGCAATGAAAAGAGTAATAAGTCAAGCAAAGCTACCACACAATGTGATATCCGTCACCAAAAAT